CTGCTCGACCCAGTCGCTGAGTCAACTTGTTGACTTTGACCAAGTCAACCCGTTGACCGGTCTAACAGTTGACTTTGACCGAAATTTAAATTTTTGAAAATCCCTATTTTATGTTTTTCGATGTCCTGAGTTTGAATCCAAAGTTTGTTTTGCCAAATTCACACCTAATATGCTGTTTACAGTGAATTACCTTTATATTCAATATAGTTTCTCTATTAAGTTCAGTTTCTTACGTAAATTCGTTTGCAATGTATCTGAGAAATTATTGGATGTTGAATTCAAGTTCGAGGGCGATCGAATGAAGTTTAAATGGTCGATCGATATAGTATAAAAATCGAGGTAATATTACTACATGTTTCATGCTTTATGGAACATGTTGGTATTGATTTCTGCATGGATGAGTATAATTGGTCATATGTATATAGTGATCACTTCCTAAACTCTTTCCGAATTTTGTAAAAAGTCGGTTACCGAATATCAATCGAAAATAATAATAATAATAATAAGTTCGGTGATTCAATAATAAATGATTTGATTTTAAGATCCGTGAATTTTGATAAATTTTCTTAAAGGTTAAATACCATGATTATTTGGATATGAAATTACCGAAAAGAGAACCATGGGATAAAATTACGAAAATGCCCTTGTAATGGAAAAGGGCCAAGACTTCCCCAGACGGTGAAAAATAACTCTGAAAGGACATACTTGACTAATTATCAGAGAAAATGCATATGATTGAATTTAAAGGAATTATTGAAATGTCCTCGAGTTTTGTAATAACTATAACGTTAAAGGAACTAAAATTCATTCAAGCCTAAGTTATTGAAAGTATGCCACTGACAGAATTGAGTGGAATGATGATGATACACTTAAAGTGTAGAAAAGCACAATGGATGGTTATGATAAGGGAGACGATCTAAGAACTTATGTTTTGATCCACTTGAACTTTGGAATCATTTAATTAAATTCGGATCTATATTGGAATTATAGAATTGCCCTTGAAGTGTAAAATAACCAAAATGCCCTTAAAGTATTTCCAAGCCATGGAATAACTAAATACCCTCAACCTCTGAATGATTAAATCAACTTAGAATACCGAAATGACTTTAATATATGACCAAATTGAACTGAACGGAAGTACCATATGTATCCAAATTTCATAGACATCCGAATTACTATGGAAAACCTCGAAGTGACCGAGATAGACTTGACTACTAAATGAGCTAAGTAACCTCAATGACTGAGGATTAAGTAAGTGATTTGGATAAGTCTGGAAATGCTGATGAACTTACATGATGTACTGTCCCTATGGGTTGTGAACCACGAATCAAGTACGTCGACATTTATTGATATTGTTGCAACATGGAAATGAAATCAAGACTATTGGAATATCTGTTTGTTATTCAACGATGATTATGAAGATGATCTATGGACAAGAATTGTTGGTATTAAAGAGTTAATACCTTGGAAGGGGAACGAATTAACCGGTCGATATGCATTAGTTTTGAGAGTTGTTCAGCTCGAGTTAACTCAATATTCCGATAAATTAACACAAATCGTAAATGCCCTGAATCTTCGTTTCTCCCTTATCAACTTAAATCACTATGGATTCTCCAAGAACCTAATGCCCAAAATGCCTATTATTTTCCTAAATAATGGAATCACTCCGGTCATATATGAAAACACAAGTAACTCAGATGCAATGGATTCTGAATACCTTTCTGATTACTTAGTGCATCCGAAAAATGTCCGCATACTATATGATCCTGATAAATCACATTATGAATAATTGATGATCCTGTCAGATAATGAGCTCTTTCGATAGTGATACTAATTTACGACATTCTATCGGTATACTGAAGATCCGTATTTCCATGTCAGATAAGATTATCAAGTACCTCCGAATAATATCTGGAACCACTAGTGTGTTCCCTGATCACATGGATGTTTTCTCTGATTTTTGTTCTGATCTCTGCTCTGATTTCAGATACCTCTATTTAATGACTGAAAATGATTTTATTTGGGGTACTCTGGGATATGGTATGAAGACTCTGACAGGTTCAGTCGCTGTTGGTAATTCTTGTATAGGTTTAGCACCGATTAGTAATTCCTATCTCTGGTAGGTTCAGTCACTGCTGGTAATTACTTGTATAGGTTCGACACCGAATGATAATTCCTTATGGACCTAAGTCGACCCTTGGGTAGGCTCTAAGGCCCCAAGAATCTTTCTTGGGTAGGCTCTCAGGCCCAAGGTGCTCCTTTAGGTTATGCAGTTCTGGGGAGCTGTATATGGCGTTCGGTTAGAGGGATTACTATGAGTTTTGAAAAATACGTTTTAAACTGCCATTATTTTAAAAAGATCTGTACCTTTTCACTGGTTTTGTGGGAACACACTAGACAACCTATTCTGATCTCCTGAACCCAATTATCCAAAATATTTCCTATGAACTGAAAGCTTGTTTTCTCTTTCTATTTGAGAAATCAGTGGGACCTCAGTTCAGATAAAAAGTCTGTAGATGTCTGAATCAATAAGGAAACATATGTTTATCTATTATTTGCATGTTCTTCAGCATCATCTGGTAGTACTGTATTACTGAGCTTCCTAAAACTCACTATGTTACTCACCTTTTACCTTTTCAGGTTAAAAGGATTGAACCAACGTAACTATCGACTTCAATAAGGAGTTCCAACAGCATTGCTTACGGAGTACGGTGCATGTGTTTAGGGACATATAGGTTGTATTTTATTTTATATACAAGTCTGGAATTTGTTTTATTTTTTAATATTGGTAAATTTTACTTTTGTATTATAAATTGTTTTACGATTTTACGTGTTTTAACAGAAATTTTAATTTTTTTGATATTTTTACGGTGAGTCGCTCCGGTGGCCCTAATGTGACACTCCGAGTCAGATTGAGCCACCCACATCGGTCTGAGGGGTTACAATAGGGATGAGATTTAAGATTAAAAAAATAAATAAAAATATAAGGTGAGATATGAATAAGATAAATAGGGGGATTTTGAAATTTGAAGATAAGATAAAGACAAATAAAAAATAAAAATAATAGAATAAAATAGTAATTGGAATTTGAAAAGAAGACTTATTGCTTTTAGCTTTGACTCAGTTTTCTTGGATCATCGAAATGGATCTTTACTTCAAGATTCACGCCGGTTACTTGTGTATAAGGACGGATCCTTGTGACTATGCTTTGCATACTGAATACACAAATTCAATCTTTAATATCTGTTTATGAATTGATCTAATCAACAACAATGTTGTAGATCTAAAAACGTTGAGGCTTGAAAAGCTGTCGACTCGGATTATGTTGTTTCAACAATAACTGGTTATTTTGCTAAGTGTGTTCCCAGGAAGTCGAATGTGCTTCAATAAGTCGATCTCCTACGTTAACCATAACAACATCCATACTAACGTCGACTTTTTGGTTTTGAAAATTGTTTTGATTTGAAAATAAGCCCAGGAAACAGAGAGAGATATCCGAAGCGATTTAAGTGCCTTACAATTTTCACGTTTGGAATTAAGCCAATGATTTAGCCTTCGGCTTAAAAGAAAATTAGCTAAGCATGACAAAAATCATACTTAACATGTTTAAAAATAAAACTTAAAATAAAGTAAAAAATGAAAACTTGAAAAGAAAAGAAATGAGAGAACTTTATAAAACTAGAAAGAATAATAAGAGTAAAATCTCAATTGTAGAGATGTGTTTTTATACTTAACCTGAGAGGGTATTTATAGCCTTCAAAATCCTAAACACAAGATAAATATAATTCTTAAAATAAAAAAATAAATCATAATGAAAATACTTAAAATTATTTAAACTAAAATACTAAAAACAAAGATAATATAAAATATAATATTTAAAATAATATCCTAAAACATGAGTTTAATTCAAATTCGAATTGCATAAACGTGCGACTGATCTATTCATTCTTCTAGAAGCGTTGACTGGACCTTCTAGAAGGTACTGACTCATCGTCTCATCAGATGTGTCATTCCCAAAATCATGCCCACTAATCCAACTTTGATTCAGAAAATAAAAAAATCTACAGAATTCTGCCTTTTAAGTGCATTTTTCAAATCTAATATCCTACACAGAAAATGAATCAAAACGAACAAATAAATCACAAAAACCAACAATTAAAGAGGAATTTAAAAGCAAATAATAATCAAATAAGGCACCTATCACATCATAATACCATTTAACAATTTGGAAACTACATTCTAAACAGTACAGTCCAAGCCACCAAGCACACAAGGGTACCGTTTTTATGTCAAAATTTTTAAACATGTTCTTCCAAAAGGAAGATGCAGACCACAAGAACATCTAGAGAAACCTGGAACTTCAACAAAGTAACAGACTCAAATATTGCCCGATGCTCAATTCTGCAACTACTTTTTATCATTTCAAGCACACTGATAACAGCCTAAGCATGATAATTCCTGTATTCCCGAACCCTACAAAGACAAGCATTAAAACACTATTTAGACCCCAAAACATTACCCCCCAAAAAACCCCATGATAATCCAGGTTTTTACCGCCGTATTTGCCATCCTTCGAAAAATGTTTATAAGTAAAACACAACTATCCAACAGTTTTACAGTGGATTCATCCACTTTTTGCTTCCCACCAATACATTGACATAAAAGCCCATAATTATGCAAAGCAAACCACAAAAGAAATCAATTAAATGAACCCAGACTAGTTCTAAAACCAAGCATCACCCCGAAAAAAATAACAATCTCAGGTAATTAAACAGTTTCGCAGTAAAATTGTAACCACCATTTCTTCCCTCCAAAATAAAGCACGAAACCCAAATTAATCGACTTGTACTACTATCACTCAGTGAAAACTAAGCTCTTAAAAAAAAAAAAAAAAATAAGTCTTCATAAATCCCGTATAAATAAATGAACCCAAAATAAAAAGGACCAGGTCTTCCACAAAAAAAAAACCAACAAAAGTGAGAAAGAGAAAAGTGGCATACACTCTAGTGACTCGATTATCTTGATTGCAAGTGATGTGGAACCAAGTACAAGGGTTAACAAGGGTGGGATCCCAACTCAGGAGCACGTTATCGGGATCCGTTAGACTTCTTCTCAAGGTCTAAAGAGCACCGCCTTCTGAATTTCCGAAAACAGAAGGAACCGAAGTAAAGGCTAAACAAAAAGCCCATGCCCAGGTCGGTGCCACCATGGATGATGCTAGTTGCAGCTGCTCTGTTGGGATCAGGTCTTTGTGGTATGGAAAAGAGGAGGAAGAAGAGTCGGCTTTTATTTGTTTCTTAAAAGAATCTGTTACTTTTTAGTTTGATCAAATTTCTAAAGTACAATCGGCTTTGGAAATGGCAGCGAGAAACATGCACCTCTTCTGCTTTTGCTGGTTTTTATGAAAATGTATTTCATGCAGTTTTCGGGGTTTATCATGAAAGAAGAACTAATATACGATTAATATATAATATTATCGGATACATTAAAAGATATTTAATAAATTCGGTTTAGTGTTACTAAATATATTAAAAATTAGGTAAAAATGTAAAAATATGACAAAATCAGTAAAGCGCTACTAAATATATTGAAAGTGTTCATACTTTAATACAAATATCGACACTTTTAGAATATAAAAGAGAAACAGTAATAGCGTCTATAAAATGTCGATACATTATAAAAATGTATCGATCCATAATAATATAACATGTAAAAATATGACAAAACCGGTCTCGAAATGACAAAACCAGTAAAGTGCTACCGGATATGTTGAAAGTGTCGATACTTTAATATAAATATTGACACTTTTGGAATTTAAAATAGAAGCAATAATAGCGCCTATAAAGTGTCGATACTTTATAAAAATGTATTGACCCATAACAATATAACAAGTAAAAATATGACAAAATCGATCTTGAAATGACAAAACCGGTAAAACGCTACCGAATATGTTAAAAGTGTCGATACTTTAATATAAGTATCGACACTTTTAGAATTTAAAAGAGAAGCAATAATAGCGCTTATAAAGTGTCATTACTTTATAAAAATGTATCGATCCATAATAATATAATATGTAAAATTATGAAAAAACCGGTCTCGAAATGACAAAACCAGTAAAACACTATCGGATATGTTGAAAGTGTCGATATTTTAATATAAGTATCGACACTTTTAGAATTTAAAAGAGAAGCAGTAATATCGCCTATAAAGTGTTGATACTTTATAAAAATGTATCGATCCATAACAATATAACATGTAAAAATATAACAAAACCGGTCTCGAAATGACAAAACCGGTAAAGTGCTACCGGATATGTTGAAAGTGTCGATACTTTGATATAAGTATTGACACTTTTGGAATTTAAAAGAGAAGCAGTAATAGCGCCTATAAAGTGTCGATACTTAATAAAAATATATCGATCCATAACAATATAAACAGGTAAAAATATGATAAAATCGGTCTCTAAATGACAAAACCGGTAAAGCACTGCTGAATATGTTGAAAGTGTTGATACTTTAATAAGTACGAGTAAAATATTATCGATACTTTTTTAAAGAAATAGGTAAATATCCTATCGAAAGTATCGATACCTGACATAAAAGTAGCGACACTTTGGTAGTTGTATTGATTAAATATAAATAACATGTCCGGTTAAAATATAAAGGGCATAGTTAAATTTCCTCTGAAAATATATAGAACACGGCCAAGTTTTTAAAAAATCGAAGCGTAATTGTTGCTGCATTTCAGAAGGTATTTTTAAAGCGAAGTTTGTTTGTTTGTTGCTACAGTCGAATCAAAAAATACGTTGTCGAAACTCTAGTTTTTTATTATTATAGTAATCAGAAATAAGGCTATTATGTTTTGTTTGGGATTTTGGAAGTAAAGAAGCATTTGAGACCGATTATAGGTAAAAAGTGATATTCTAGGTAGATGATAAATATCGATACTTTTATTAAATATTATAGGTAGAAAATGATATTATAGGTTGTATAAATGTGCTGATACTTGGAGTGTTGAGTGTTCTCATTCGTTTGAAGGAAATAGGGATTAGAGTTTTTGGGTTTGGTTTGGGGATTTCGAATCGAAGCCAAGAAGGATTTAGGACCGATTATATAATATTATAGATAGAAAATAAATATGGATACCTGTTTATAAAATTATAGGTAGAAAATGATAGTGTAAGTTGTATAAATGTGTCGATACTTATAGTAGTGGCCATTCAAATTATTTTGAAGGAAACCGTTTTAATACAAGAGTAGTTATCGATATTTGCATATTGAATAAAGTGTATGTAACCAATATTTGATTTTGATTTGCGTAAACTGATATATGAAAGAAAAATGAAGTCAACGGATCTTGAAATTGTTGGTGGCGAAGATGACTTTGAAATTGAGGCCGAGAGTCGAAAGCAACCAATGGGTGGATATATGTACTTCTAGTAAGTATCAATGTATTTTTTTATTATAGTTGAAATGGTAATTGGATTAAAGTATTTAAGAACTTTAAATTGATAACAAATTTTAAATGTTGACAGTATGATCGAATGCCAAAGGATGAAGGAAGCTGGAAATCACATCGGTTCGATATGTAAAATGAAATTGACATTGAGTATTATTTAGCGTTAATGTATTGATTAAGAAACGTTTATGCTTAATATTAGGTGAAAAATGATGTGTTGGAGAAATGGAAGTCGATGAGTGATGTTGAGAATGAACCTTACATCATACAGTCAAAGATGGATAGTGAAGAATACAAAGCTTGGAGGAAATCACATGAAAAGAAGGTATTCATTAAACTTGTAAATACTTTGATACAAGATATATAAGAACAATAACATTATATATTGTTAAAAAATGTAGGAAGTGTCGACAAGGTGCAACATAAAAATGGTGAATTCATTAATTGAACACCTTAAGGAGAGTGAGTACTTGAATGTGCTGGAAGAAATGAGGTTTGGATTGTTGATAGGAGTAAGGGATCAACCTATTCGAAGGGAATTGTGTCGATCCTTGATGGAGTAATTCGATGTCCAACAATGTATTGCTAAATATGGTGATTATTCATTTCCTCTGGGGGTCTCATGTGCTGCAGCCATCTTGGGGGTAGAAAATGAAGGCAAAAGTGTTGTAGAAGTCACTAAGAGTAAGAACTGGAAAGCACTTGCCTCCAAATATGATTTGAAGCAAAAGATGACATGTGCTGAACTTGAAGAGGAAATCAAAAGTAGATCTTACGGGGGGATGACCTGAAGGCCCGAATTCTATTGTACCTTGTCGGGATCTTTCTTTGTCCAATGGGTGATACGTCAATGAACAAGGACAATATGAAGCTGATTTGCAATGAAGGCTTGAATGACGAATTCAATTGGGCCGAATATTTCCATTCGAGATTGATTAAATCAATAATCAGCTTTCAAAAGGGCAGCAGGAGATACCTCTAAGGGTGCATAACAATCTTAGAGATACCTAAAATGCTAGTATAGTTATTATATAAAATGATAAATTTTATTATAAATGTAGGTTGCACTGTTTGATTTTTGGTCGGGCTGTAATTGTGTGCCGACATATGAACGAAACAGAGTGGCACACATCCGTGCATGGGGGAAGGAAGAGGTGGTTAGAGTGATGGAGAAGTTGAAGTTGGATAGACCGAGGAAGCAAGAAAGGGTAATAAATGTAATTAAATAATATTAAGGATATAATCAATGTATTAATATTGTAATTTAATTTTGAAGGTTATTGGCAAGAAGATAGAGGCGGCAGAGGAGGAACTAGAGGCAGTGGATGTAACATCCCGAAATTCAGGATCAGTGACTAAATTGTAAATTTTGAAAACTATGCGCTTGATTTCGAAATAAGTGAAAAGTTCATGGATTTAATAGTAAAGCTGGAAAGTAACAAGGGTATTATAGTCTTTTCTAAGAAAAGATTTTTATTCTCTTTTTAAGGATTATAAAAATGTCAGAAATAAGGAAATCTATCCAGAGTCTTCTTTTTCAGCTTCTTCTTCTCCCCGTAAGCCTCAGTTAAAGGTGAGTTTAATTTCATCTGTTTAATTCTTGGATTTATAAGTTGATTTTGATTCTTTGAGTATTATATAAGCTCAAGGAAAGCTTATATAAGCTTTAAACATCAAGAATAGAGAATTAAAAAGAAAAATATATGAAGGGTGTAGAAATGAACTTTTGTTATAGAAAGATTTTTGAAGTTCTAAAGATGGATTTGACTTGTCAAGGGGTTAATTAAGAAGTTAGAGGTGATAGAATTGAATTTATAACACATGGAAAATTTGATGAAATTCTTTGATTCAAGAATTATGATAAATTATGAGATATGATGAAGTGTTATAGTATTATAAGAAGGTTTACATATGTATAGATAAGTTTTAAGGTATAAGGAGGGATTAATAAGTAGAATTGGAGTCAAAACAAGACATTTTCGTACTTAAAATGTAATTATGGGTAGTGTGCATCGATGCATCTTCAATGTGTATCGATGCACTCTCAAATAAATGAACATCGAATGCAATTAGTGCATCGATGCACCCCCTTAAGATTTAAAATATCGAAGGTAATTTGTGTACCGATGCATGAGTAGTGCATCGATGCACATGTTAAAGAATGCATCGATGCACTGTAGAATGTATCGATGCACTTCAAAAGGGAAATAGAAATAGACCTTTCTTTTGGTCTAAGAAATGACAGATTATAGTATATTAATTGGATACTGATAGTATAAATACTTGATTGTGTAGATATCGAGCACGAACAAGTTCTAGAACGATTATCAAGTTAAGATTCGATCGGAAGAAAGGAAAGCATAAAAGTGGATTGAAACTTAGTGAGGTCAAGGTGAGTGCATATTAGTAGTATATAATGTTAAATGGAAATAAGACTTGCGACAAGTCTATTTCCAATAGTAAAATGCATGAATTCATAAATAGAAGTATATGTGTGTATGAATTAAATGTGTTGACATGTTATTGTATATATGTATTATATGGTTGATGTGAATATATGATATGTTATGATGATATAAACCATATTAGATGATAATAAATTATATGAATATAAACGATAAGATCTTTGAGATATATATAGAAATGAAATATAACTACGTG